GGTTATTTTAAATATTTTTATACTTAACTTTCTTTAATCTTTGGTTTTTATTCTGTTTCCAAGTGGAGATTGCTGATACTTTAGACTGAATAAAACCAGGGTTGTTACTCTGTCACGCACTGCCATTGCCTGTAGATTACACACTATATCAATAGATAGCTCTATTGTCTAAACTGTGCCCTTCTGTGTTTTAATGGTGGAATCTCTTGTGGCTTTAGAAATCCTACTCCACCATCTCAAGGTGAGACTACAGCTAAGGTTTTGGTGTAATTGGACTTGGGAGTAGTCAGAACGTCTATTGTCAAGCCCAAGTTGTTCTACTTACAGATCCCCCACCCCTTTACCAGACATAGAAGGCTTGAACCTACTTTCAGTAACTGTAACATTACTTCCCAGTTACTTTTAGTCTATTATTTGTATTTCTGTAGTATCTAGGAGCTCTGGTCATGAACCGGGACCCCATGATGCTAGACTCTGTACCAACGCAGGACAAAGAGACGGTCCTGGCTGCCACAAATAGTTACGATCTAAATAAAGTTCTTCAACGTGCAACTCCACTTCATGTGGATGGCACAGCTAGTGGAACGACTCCTAACTTACATTGCTGTAATTCAGCTCTGAATCTGGCAGGGAGTTTTAATAGGATACTGTCAACCTCACTGAGGCTCAGGATTTATATTTTGTTTAATGAAATAAAAAGTGGGGAAGGATTTACCACCCCTAAATAAGACTGGAAAGATGTTTTATGGTCGTGATTTAGAACAACTAATCACAATAGGTTGTTGCTTTATCATTTCTTAATTCAAGTTCAGCCTTTCCCTGCAGTGTCATGAACCCAAACACCAGCTGGGCATGAGTGTTATGGAATGAAAAGTGCAAGTGAATTTGAGCAATGCTGCAGATGGGTCTGGTTTCACTGCCCCACAAGCTAAGGGAAAGGTACAGAGGGTGATGTTCATCCTCACGGAGAAGACCAATGCAGAGAGCTTAAGTGGTGAAGAGGCCTTTGGCTTGGCTTTCTGCAGAGGAGTGAATCGCATACCAAGTGAATATATGGCATTAATGGGGAAAAGTACCTTCAGTGTTAATACTCTAAGGGATATTGCATAAGTACTTGAAGAAATACTATTGCAGGGATAGTATTAGCTATACACGTTGTTATATTTCTCCAGGCTTCATAACTGACTAGTGGTTGAAACCCATCCAAAGCCCTAGATCCAAACTCCACACCATCCTTTGTCAACACTGAGGGTATGGTTCAGCCTGACTAGATCAACACCTTTCCTACCTGAGGCCTGTGTCTTTGCTCCATAACAGTATGGAATAGCCCAATGAAAAACGAGAGCTCAATGACAGGCTTAAAGCTATTTACAGGTGATACAGTGCCTCTCTCTTTTGTGAGCTGACAACTGAAATAAAGTCTTTTTTCCAATCACTATAAAGAAGGGTTAATGTTATTACTGAATTGGTGGTCTTAGATACTGCTATATGCTCTGTTTTTGGTGGTCTCAGATACTGCTATATGTTCTCTGGCAGAAGGTTTACAAATACAGATCTGCTCTGGGATAATGTGATGTGACGTGGATTCCCCTAGCTCCTACACTCATGCTTCCCTTTCTGGGTCAGAAAAAGAAAGAGGTATCCATTCTACCATGACTGGAGAATCCTTGCAGCCGTGTGTTTAGAGATGGGACCAAGCAGTGGTGTTTTGATCCAGCTCTGGACTTGCTCTGAGTTCAGAGGAGTCTGGATCTGGAGTTTTGTTTGGACCGTCACCTCAGGGGATCTTCAGCTAGATAAAGAGAGTCAGAAAGAAGCCCCCACCCTGGGAGTGTAGGCCACTAACAGTAGTTGAGGCAGAAGGAATTGATTTGCATTCGAAAATTCAATCAGTTCTAGTTAGGAGGCACCATATCTCTCCGTTGTTTTTAAGGGTAGACCCACACTCTATGGGTGCTTCCCTCCCAAAATGAAAGCTTTGAGATCTGACTTGACCTTGTGGAGAACAGTGGATTCCTTGCCTGTGTCCCTGGGATCCTAAGTCACATTCTTACAAGTCACCAGTGTGCAAAAAGGAGAACCTGAGCCCAGAGACTGCCTGCTGCAAGAAGGTCAGCACCTAGACAGCCTCTCTCTGGAATGCAAAGATGCCAGGGTGAGTGAGTGGTGAAATTTTGGGACCACACAGGAGCCCATTTCAGTGATCCTTGGGTTCAGGCATACATAAACAAGAACTAAACAATGAACTTTAACTGTGGAGCAGTAAGCAACCTCTAAAGACCCTTGATATCTCTTTAAGTATCTCCCCTAACTGAGGGGCCATCTCCCAATTCCAAACTTCTGCAGGCTTCTAAGTAAAGGGAATGTCTCTAGATTATAACTTCTGTCACGACATCCCCACAAAGACTGCTCCTTACCCCCTGCAACCCCCGTTCCTAACCTACCTTACTGTCTGGCTTGTTTCAAGAGCCAGTGCGAACCTGAGACAAAAGTCCCAAACACAGCAGCATACCCTGGTCCTTGCTGCTCCCTCAGAAATTATTTGCATCCATTTCCCCTCACTCCCCCGCCCCAAGACCCAAGCAACGGTCCCAAGGTTAGACAAGCAATCCTTCAAAAATAAGGCACTGCAGCAGGGCCTGGGAAAGCAGGTCAAGGCAAAGACAGAAAGGCATGAGGGGAATGTGGCAGCTGTTCAACACATTCCTCCGGCACTTAACTCTTTCGCTGGCAGGAGGCAAGGGAGCTCTTGCCAGACAGGATGCTGGCTGACCCTCGCTCGTCTGTGTAAGAGGGAGGGAGGGAGGCAAGGGAATTTGCAGAGCTCCAAGCTGATAGCACCAACCAGACAGGCAGTTATGCCTGCTGGTTAGAGGAAGGTGGATGGGAAGACAGGTAACAAGGAAAACTTCCTTTAGGGCAGGGGTCTTCAACCTTTTTTAACAAGTGTACCCCTTCTGTCTCAAAGTTTCAGCAAAATTATTTGGAGGGGCTGAGTGTGAGCACGCATGTGCGTGTGCATCCCTTCGCCCCCCCC